CATCCTATTGAATCTATGGACATTTCCATAATATTTTCTTGGGACTTGGGGACAGGTTTTTGTTGAAGATCTTCTAATGAGTCTTTTGATACAGATTTTGGTATTTTGGATGGTTGTTCATGGAACTCTAAAGAATCTGTAGATTTAATCATAACTTCATCTACATCTGGAACTTTCTGGTCAAGATCTAAAGAATCGGCTGATCTTTCCATTTCACCTGCTTCATCAGGTACAACCTGTTCTTCATCAATAGCAATTATGTCTTTATCAGCCAATGAATCTTTATCACAATCATCAAGTTTTTGAACTTCAATCTGGCTAATTGGTTCTTCCAACTGGTCATCTTCAGATTCATCTTCATCTTGGCCATCTAGGGAGTCTATATCTGCCTCAGCTCCAGATGAATGTACTGCACTGCTCTCACTGTCATATGCCTTATCTAAATCCTTCAGGGCTTGTACATTAGGTGAAACAACAGGTGCAATTATAGATGGTTCAAAACTTTCAACATTTAGAGATGCTTGTAGCATTATCTGTTCTAAGTTAAAGCGGTCTTTATCATCATTGTCATCTGTCAAAGAGTCTCTCTCTATTTTATCATCTTCTTGGTTCTTCTGTTTGAGGTAAGCATCCTCTGTTGAATCTTTATGTGGATGTATAACATCTGGTGGAGGAGCAAATGGGGACAATGGAACCTCCTGGACACCCTTGCCTGATTCTGATTGTTCACTTTCAGACATAAGCTCACCTGCCTCGATCATAGACACAATTTTTTGAGCCTCGGCTTCAAGGTTATCTGAGATGTAAATATCTCTTTCTAATTTTTCAAATTCGCTCAGTGAGGACAAAGATGACTTTGAAGATTTGGCACTTGTCTTTTCTAAAGGTTTAAGGTCATCATGCTCCACATGTTCTAAACTGCTACTGCTTTTTGAGTCAACTGTGCACATTTGTTCAAGGTTTTCAAACTCCTGTAAAGAGGATACAGATCCAGGACCACTGCTTTTACTATCTGGTGTTATTTTATCATCAGATCCACCTGAACCAGAGCCAGAAGTACCAGCTTGAGTAATCTCTTGCTCAATTTTCTCAAACTCTGCTAATGATGAACTAATACTAACAGACTGATCACTAGTTTTAGCTAAGGTTACAGGCCTTACTACACTTCCCTCTGCAAGCATTTCTAAACTAGACCTACTACCATGTACAAGCACCTCTTTTTCTAAATGTTCAAACTCTAACAATGATGAAGTCACTGAAATATCATCTCTATCACTACTTTTATTGAAGAATTTCTGTGAACCAAAGCCAGGGGACATAACAGGGAATAATTCTGGTGAACTACGACCTTGGTCAGATAAATGTTCAGAAGAGCTTATATCGGCTGCATTGCTTGATGTATCAATAGTTTCAATATGCTCATAAGAACTCATTTGTTCTGAGGAACTTGTTATTGGTCTGTCTTTATCAGATTTCTTTATAAAATCTTTATATTCCTCTTCTGGTGTCTCTGGAACAGAGCTTGGCTTTTCAATCATTTCAAAGTCATCTTTACTTGAAGATGATTCAGATTCAACATCATCTCTTCCTCTTACATCAATGCTGATTTCAGGCTCCTGTGGAAGGTCCTCATGAAATGAACTTTGCATATCAGAATGGAATGATGATGTCATTGAGGCTATTTCTGCAAGCCTATCTTCTTCCTCTGACTGCATTGCAACTACTGTTGCAAAGCTGTCCACACTGGATGTATCACCTGCATCTTCTGGACTCATCAATTCACCTGGATCAAAGCTTCTGTCCAGACATACAACTGATGCTTCTGCTTCAGGTAGAGGAACAAGTTCATCATAATGGCTGGCAGCAATTGCAGCTGCTATTCCAGCACCCAATGCAGCAGTTGCAGCCATCTTAGATTTATTGCAAGATTCAGAATCAACAAACTCCTCCTCTGGGGAATTCTCCTTCCTTTTAGAACATGAACAAGAGGGGTCTTCATACTCAGGACTAGAGTCACTTTCTTCAGTCACATTTAACTTCTGATCTGATTTACTCAGTTCAGCCTCTGATCCAGAAGAAACCTTTGGGGATTCTGTTTCTGATACTTCAGCAATATCTTCCAATGGCTCGTGAACATAGCCATATTCATCTTGTATTGCATTAGGGAATATTACACCAGAAATTGGACGTGTTTCTATAACAGGTGAATCATGAAAGTCTTGAGGCTCCTCCTCAATTGGAGAATACTGAACAAGATTTATGTTAGAATCAACACTGGAGTCCCTGATTAACTCCTTGGTTTGGGAATCCTTTTCATCTGATAATTTTTCATCTGAAGAAGATAACTCAGGTAAGGATGTAGGTGGAGACAAAGGTGGAGAAGACTGAGCCATTGTTGCAGCATTTTCAAAGTCAAATGTTGCATCATCATCATGTTCTTTTGGTGAAGTATGTTCATCTTTTATCTGCGACTCTTTTTCAGTTTGTTCTTCATCTTTCTGTCCTTTTTCAATATCCTCTGATGCTTCCACATGTGGTGATATATCACAAATGGGTTCAATGCTTACAATTGAAGGTTCCCCTTGTTCAGCTTCTTTGTCATCAGTCTGTAGATCCTCACTTCTGCATACTTGCATATCCTCTTCTGCATCATCTTTATCAAGAGAGCTTTGTTTGTGGAATGTAACAGGGTAATCAGCCTCATCTGTTTCTTGATGTAAATGCTGAGTTACTTTTATCTCAGGTATTTCCTCAACTGATAATTGTTGGACTAACATAGATGAATCTCTCCTTCCAGATGTGTCAATTTTAGCATCTTCCTGGAACTCAACACATATTTCAGGTTCAGCCTCATAAATTATCTCACTTACTATATTATGAGTTTCATGCTCCACCATGTCAATATCAGATGATGATTTACGCTCCTCATCACTGACCATATCTGCAGAATCTCTATGGTCATCATCACTTAGCATTGTTTGATCACGTGCATCAGGATCAACAAGATCTGGGGACTCTGCAGGGAAATCCCGATGCACTTCAAACACTAAAAAAGGCTTCTTGATTTCAGAAGTTTGCTCATCACTTTGTTCTTCTGTCATTTCAATATCATCATCACTGTGGGGATGGGACATACCAGGCTCTTTCTCCTGCTCTATTTCATGGTCTGTTGTAATTTTATCACTTAATGTTTCCAGATCGTCAGGTTTGTGTTCAGATTTATCAGAAATCTCCTCATCACTGTCACATGGACGTTCTTGTTGTTTTGGCAATCCAGTTAGAGGATCTATTTCAAGAGCACCCAGTTGAATAATAGTTTGGGATGGAACAGAATCAATATCAGAATCTGAATCTGCTGGTTGTTCAATATCTTGTGTCTCCAAATCGGTCTTTGTATCAGTTTCTGCTTTGAATGGTACATCTCTATGAGCCATACTCTGCTGAGCCTCTGTTATCACTTCCTCAACAAAATACGTTGCAGTTTTTTCAATTTCGGCTGTTTCAACTTGGCCTTCTTCATATTTTTCCTCCAAAGTATTATCTGGTTTTGATTCATTGCTCTGTTGTTCCAATCCAACAAACCTTACTTTAGATGCTTCAAATTCTTTCTCTTTTTGCACATCATCAGCATCAACCTCGCAGTCAGGCACTGGGGAGGTTGGCCTTTCATACTCTACATCACCTACTAAATCAAATTTAGCAGAATCTGTAGAGCTTCTTATACCTTTTAATTCTGAATCTGTTCTACTTGTCAATGAATCCCTAGTATCTGAGTCTGATCTTTGACCGCTTAGCTGTGATGTTGCCCTTTGTTCTATTTCTTTGGTTTCAGAATCTGGTCTACTATCTGTAAGATGTTGCAATTCTGGTTCAAGTCGATCAACAGATGTATCATACTCATCCCCTAAAAAATCATCATCTCTATCTATTCCCTCTTCTACTACTCCACCAACTGCCCCAGCTTCATTACCAATATCCCCTAGTGTTTCACTGACATATTCAGTTGGAACTTCAGTTACAACAGCTTCAAACCCAGTTTGACATATATCTGTATCCTCATCTTGCTTAACACCTTCATTTTCACATATATCAATTTGCAACTCTAAGGTTGTACTTTGATCTAATATTTCTGAAGCATATTCAGGTGGAACCTCAGTTACAACAGTATCATACTTTGAATTGTCTTCTTGTTGATCTTCAATAGAATCCAAAATATCTTTTGAATACTCCGTTGGAATTTCAGTTACAACAACATCAGTTTCATGTTTTGAACTTGCTAAACTATCCAAAGGGCATGCACCATGTGAATCTATATATTCAGCAGGTATATCATGACTTTCCAATTCTTGTTGATCAGACTTAGTCCCTTGATCTACTTGAGCAGGTGCATCAGACCTTGAAT